CTATGCAAAATGCAAGTTAAATATTCTTTGAGCCAAAAAAAATTAAGAGACATTTTGAGATGTTTATTCAGATGTACTTCTAAAATTTTTAGATTGATTGGTAACTGATAATATTTTACTAAGTTGAACTAGAAAATATATTGAGAAGGTCATTGGTAACTGGTGATCAACCTTTCCAACAATTGACTCTCAACTCATTGTTCCCTTATTGTCGTATGTAGAGCTTGTCTAATTACATTGAAAAATGGAATTTTGATATTAACTGAATGGAACTATGACCTTAAGGTTTGTATCACTTGTTTAGAAAAAAGTTTAGGCACTATGTTATCATTTTTACAGTAAAATCTGATGCAAGATTTTCCTATTTTAAAGATACTTTATTTTCATGCAATTGGAGGAATTTCAGCACAGAACAGGAAAAGAGAGAATACAGTTTGTAGGAAGTGGGAAAAAAGTTCAGGGCGGCTGCAGTGATAAAAGGGCAGCAATCATGCAACTTTTGAACCACGTTTCCCACGAAACATTGAACCTATAAGTAGAGAGGCTTTCTGATTTTTGCTCAATGCACATAAAACTTTTCATGAATCTTGAGTGAAAGCATCCCCCTCCCCCCACACCCCCAAAAAAAAAAAGAAGAAACCATCTCTGACGATCGAGTCTGTTAGCTAGTAACAACATAATCAAATTCACTCCATTCATTGTGCTATGGTTCACAATTGGTTTCGATTTCCATGTAAGAGCATATTCAAATGTAAACTGTTTTGAGAGCGAGCAAAAATCTCTCCACGAATTTAAGGAAGGTCTAATTGACAAATCAAATCATTTGACATCCTGGACAGGGGAAAATTGTTGCTCATGGGAAGGAGTTGGATGCAACAGGAACATTCGGCATGTGGTGAAACTTGATCTGCGTAATAATGCTACTTTTGATTCCAATCGATTTTGGTATGGGGACATGCAAAATTATGTCTCTATCTATGGTAAAACTTGTTTAGGAGCCCAGATAAGTCATTCGTTAGTGAAGTTGCAGCATTGGCATTACTTGGATTTAAGTTCAAATAATTTTGCAGGAATTCGGATCCCAGTATTTATAGGATCATTGAAAAACTTGAGATATCTCAACCTTTCTAGCGCAGGTTTCAATGGGACAATTCCTCCCCAATTTGGAAATCTCTCAGCCTTAGGCTATCTCGATCTTCGTAAAAAATTTGAAAGTTTTAGTGAAGAGGTAAATCATTATTATTTGTCCACGAAGAGTCTCTGGTGGATCACTAGCCTTTCTTCCTTGAAACATTTGGACCTCTCTAAAATGGATCTAGGAGAGGCTCGAGACTGGTTGCGAGCACTTAACAAACTTTACATCTCTTACCTCACTTGACCTCGAAGGCAATGAATTTAACTCCACAATCCCTCTCTAGTTGTTTAATTTAACTTCACTTGTTCATCTCAACCTTAATTTCAACCCTTTTTTTTTATTCAATAGTTCCTAATAACCTTCAGCATTGGACTTCACTAAGCTACCTTGATCTTAGCTACAATCAATTCAATATTTCACTGCCTGATCCACTTTTCACTTTGAACAATCTTGTCTATATGGACATCACTTTTAACCAAATCCAAGGCCCACTCCCCTTCGGCCTAGGCAACCTAACTTCTCTTTCCATACTGCATATGTGATGACCCCACCTCTCTCTAGGGCGTACCCAAGGTTTGGTGGACCGTCTGCCCAACTCTTATCAGAAGTCACTCACGTGCCACGAAATTTACAAGAAAATAACCTTAATATTAAGAGGGATAACAATTACAATCTGCAATGTATACACTCCTGGACCTCAAATGCCCATACAATCGATAAATACAGCCAAGTAATCAACCCAAGCAAGCCAGCTAGAAACCTACGGAGTGCTCATGCAAGCAACTAACAAAACTTAGACAAAATCGATGCCTTCTCCAATTTTGACTCTCATGTTCTCACCCTGTAAGGAAAACAAATTCATGGAATGAGCTAGAAGCCCAGTAAGGTTCCAAGAAAACAGGCAAGCGAACTAGCATACATGATACTATGCATAGGATATCAGTAAACAAGTCAAACTCAAGCAGACCGGGATATAAGGTATAGTAAAGCAAGTAGGTAGATCGGTCATGCAATAGTGTAAGGTTAAAAAAAAATACATTTATGCCAAAAGGATATAGGCTGCTCTGAGGAGCAAGTTCCACCGTAGCTTGTCTGGGATCCGTTGACTCTCCGTCAACCATGGCATTATAATATCCGTAGATCACCACTAAACGTCAATCTCTGTCTACCGATTATCCCCCTGCCAGGCCCAAACGCCAATCAAGTACCCATGGTTCGTTAGTCTCTCGACCAATCCCTTTACCAGCTCGATTCGACCAACTAGCCATGGGGTTGGGCTTATAGCCCCAAGTTTCAAGAATCAAGTATTCATGATATGGGTTAAAACTCCAAGTATTCAAGAATTCACGAGTGGAGTCATTGGTTATTATCCAACACTCACGTAGGTAATGATTGGAGCCGTTAGCTGTCACCTAACGCTTCGTATCAAGCAAGTCATGAGTTCAAGTCACGAGTTCAAGTCACGAGTAAATAGGTTAGGAAATTCTTCCTTTACCTCAAGGTTGCTCAACTTACCCGACTGCTCTAGGGCTGGTCTCGAGCAAGAGGTCCAACGAGGGCTCAGTTCAGCCGTTACCGACCTACATTCATGCATACGCATGAGTAACCCAAGTTCCAACTTACCCGACGTCTCGGATAAGTGTCCAAGGGCCCAGTTCAACTGCTGCAAGAAGAGATGCAGTCGGCCTACAAACATGCACAGGTACATGCAAGTCCGCATGCAAGAGTCAAGTATTTCAAGTTCACGGAGTCGAGTGTAATTAAGGACACACTTGCCTAGACAAGATTAAGTCACATGTCACATGTATATCAAATTACTTGTTCATGCATAAACAAGATGTCAAGTGTTTAGTTAAGTTAGGTCGAGTGCGATAAAGTACACACTCACCTATGGAGTAACAATTCAAGTGCCGAGCAATTTCTAGCAACAAGTCATATTTAGTTAGGCAACATGGAACATGCAATTGGAACACTCACCACGGCAACAAGCTTAAGTGTTTGCCTTAAGAGCACTTCCGGCCTTACCTTCAAGTCCTAAAATCAAGTATGTTAAGTGCCATGAGATCCACTACTCCAAGCTACAATATTCAAAGGAAAACACTTCCAAACCAACCAAGTTATCTCAACTCCAATCATAAAACCAAGCTCAGCTTTTGAAGAACAGAATTTTCTCTAGTTTTACGCGATGCTATTTGAAAAATCATATCTCAGGCTTCTTGAATTCAAAATTTATAAACTTTATACCGTTGGAAAATAGACTCAAAGGATTACAATTTTCCAGAAGGTACATTTGTAAGATTCTGTCCACAAATCAGTCAAATTCCAGTCTCAAGTTGCTACTTCGTTTGGTAGAAAAAAACAACAGGTGTGAAAATTCAGTCAACTTTGGAAAATCGTAGATATTCATAGGAATTGAGAACAATTCTGAAATTTTTGTGGTGTAAATTATTCTGAATCTAGTTTCAAACACAATAAGCAGAACTCAAATTGGATTTTTCTATACGAAGTTATATCAATTTTCCCAAAACTACGCAGAGCTCTCTGCGGAAATTTCCAGCAAGCCAAAGAATGTTTTTTCCAAACTCTCCTCTAGCCAAACTCCCCAACTTTCTTTCATGTTTATATAACAAATCCACAAATTAAACTAACCAACATGTTATAAGGCATATAGCGTTAATTTCTAACAGAGAAATCGCTTACAAAACTAACTATGTCAAGGCTGGAAATTTTTGCCCTAAGCTAGAATTACAACCAAAGTTGGAAAATTCTATAGCAAAGCTAAAAATTCATACTAAAGCTGGAAATTCCCATGTCAAGACCTAAAAGGCATACAAAGCTGAAAATTACATTCCAAGGCCGAAAATTAGCATAACAAGGCTGAAAATTGACTGCTAGAGCTGGACATTCGTATAACAAAGCTAAAAATGCATCTCCAACAAGATATCCAAACCCACAAGTCATATCAAAGCTAGAAGTTTTCATCTCAAGGCTGAAAAATTATAACTCAAAGCTGAAAAATTCAATCAACCTCACAAAACCATGAAATTTTTCTCAAACCTTCCATATTCAAGTCATATATCCATCAAAAAAGAAAGAAAAGAAAGAAAAGAAGGTTTCTTAACTTGATGCCTGCAAACCCTAGGAAGAAATGCAACCAAGAGCTTCCTTTTTCCCCAAATCTCTCCACAAGAGCCTTTCTTCCTTCCTTGTTACAACTTTCTATGGATTGAAATAAGATTCTAGGATAAATTTTTCAAGGATTCAAGCAAGGGACCAAGTTGAAATTTTGGAGTTTTTCCCTCTCTTTTCTTGCTAGGAAGTTCGGCCAAGAAGTAGAAAGAAAGGAAGGGAATTTTGACCAAACTTCTAAGAGAAAGTTTAAGAGAAGTCTTGGTCAAAGTTCCATAGATGAGTAACACTTGGCAAGACAAGAAAGTGACACTTGGCAATGCAATGATTATTGTCTAATTAATGACCGAATTATCTTGGTTGGATAAGAAGCAAATTTGGTCTTAGTCAAAGTTAAGATTCTATGGTTTTATGACAAATGGTAAACCAAGAACTAATCCTTATCTAATTATCTTTCAAGTACTAGAATATCTAGCCAACTTCTAATTATCTCTTGACTCCTTATAAATAATATCCCTTTGCATCTAACTCCTCCTAATCTTTCAAATTTATCAAGCACACTTACTAGTGGGTCCCACTTTCATAAATACACTAACTTATAGAAGACAAATAATAAAATCTTGTCTCACTTATAAAGTATCCAAGAAATAAAGGCAAATAAAATAAAGTAAAAGAAAATGTATCCAAGAAAATAAGATACAATAATATAAAATAAGTTTTCCAGTCCTCACAGCAGATGGGAACTAACGAGTTTGAAGGCAAAATCCCAAGTACGATTGGGCAACTTCGAGAACTCACCGAACTCAATCTCAATTTGAATGGGTTCAATGGTACCATTCCATCCTCTCTTTGGAGGCTGAGTGAGTTGAAATCCTTGGATCTATCTTATAATCCACTGAGTGGGGAGTTGCGTGACATTCACTTTGCCAAACTCACACAACTGAAAGAATTACGCTTATCCTCCACTCTACTTGCTCTGAATGTGAGTTCCTCATGGGTCCCACCATTCCAACTTCAATCTATGGGAATGGGTTCCATCAAGATAGGGCCCAAATTTCCAATCTGGTTTCAAACTCAGAAAACAAAATCTAGACATATAAAATGCAAGCATCTCAGATACTATTCCAGATTGGCTTGAGAGAGTGTGTCATGATATAAAAAATTTGGATTTCTCCAACTATCCCAAATATCGCAAAGTATTTTCTTCGGAGTCCAACAAATTCGAGGGGCCTTTGCAATTCTTACCAACAGGCATTTCTGAATTGCATCTTAAAAATAACTCATTGCAAGGGATTATTCTGCAGCCCGACATTAACAAGACATTGGATATTCTTCGAATAGTAGATCTCAGTGATAACCACTTCAACGGCAGCATCCCTGATTCTTTGTGCAGCTTACAAATGCTTGTTCTCCTGGATCTTTCTAACAACGAGCTCTCCGGAAGGATCCCTTCATGCATTGGTAAGCTTAAAACGTTGGGTGTGCTAAATCTAGCAAACAACAGTCTCTATAGGCACATTCCAATTTCATTGGGACATCTTAATGATCTCCAATCTTTGCACTTGAACCGAAACAAATTTACAGGGATGGTCCCAATCTCGTGCAGACATCTGAAAAATTTGTAGTATCTTGATCTTGGAAACAATGAGTTGGGAGCATTATACCAGCATGGATTGGCGAAGAACTACCCCTTCTGAAGATGTGACGCCCTATTTCTCCCTAAGACGAACCAAAGGATATCGGCGGAACGCCTGCCCAACTCTCGTCAGGACTCACTATGAGACAATTCAAACTTATGGATAACATTCAACAATAAGAGTCGAAACTACAAAGAAAAGGGTGCTTCTTTAATAAGTATTCAATTCTTACATTTCAAGATACCAAGTACATCACTTTCCCCAAAATATACAACTTTCAAAAGTCATCTAATCAATTACATTCAAAACCCTAATCAAAAGTACATCAAGTCGGCTCCTCCATAATTCCTTCCATTTTGGCTCTCGTTAAGGAAAACAAATCTAATGGGATGAGTTAATACTCAGTGAAGCCAAGAAAAGCATGCAAAACACATAGTCAAATAACAATAGCACTGATACGAGAATTAAAGCTATAACATTCAAGTAGTTCACAATTAACAATAAAACACACATGATAAGGATACGGGAGCTCTCAGGAGCTATATTCCACTTGCTCTGCCAATGCTCGATCCAATACCTCCATGAGTTGATACTCCATCAACTGGGTAGGTTATAAGTCCGTAGAACTCCACTTACTTCGCATTCCCGATTACCGTTACAGCCCCTGCTCCGGGCCTGCACTTCTTTTATATAAGGCGATACTACTCGAGTATGCCAATCGAGATCTCTCCAATAGATCAAGCTTATACAATTTTCTCATGGCTCACCAAGCTTCACAACCAAGCCCATGCCGGCTCGAGTCGTAAGGTCGGCCGATGAGTTTAGGCGTCCCCCACTATTATAAATTTAAGTCGAGGAGATTCACTCCAATCGACATTGATCCACCATAGTATAATTCACTATTGCAACACTTCACTTTATTCACTTAGCAATTCACTTCATACAATTCAAATATAATTCACTTAAGAGAGAGTGAGTGCGATAAGTATACACTCGACTCAACACTTTCAAAACACTCAATTAATGAGAACAATTAAGCACGTAGCAACACTTCATACACTTGACACTCACCAAGTCAAAAAGTGAGTAATTGAGCAAGTAAGCTTTTAGGCGTCCACTTTGAGATTCTCTTGAAAATCCCCTTGAGCGCCTGAGCAAATAACGAGTAACTTTTACTCACAACCATGCATCAATCAAGAAAGAATGTACACGGGTTTAGAATAAGTCAATGTCTTAAAAGTGAACTTTAATTGTTCAAAATAGAGATTCAAAACTGAGAACTCAAAGTCTCAAGAGAAACTTGCCTCTCCCTTGAAATCGGGTTTAAAACAGTTTATCAATACTGAGAGAGGGTGACAAGTTCTCAAAAATTGATTCCCTAAGAAATCATGAATTTTCAACTTTGCACGATAAACTTGGAAAAATTAAATATTGAGTTTGACACGTCTAAAAATGGAAAACTCTACACCGTTGGAAACTAGGTTCAGAGTACTTAAAGTTCCTAGAAGACACTTTTCTAAGATTTTACATGGAAAGCACTCATTTTTCCACTCAAAATTTCAGTTCCAATAGGACAGGTTTGAACCAGTCTTGGTTTTCCAGCAATCTTTGGAAATTCGGCATAATTCACAAAAAGTGAATCAGCCCTTGAAATTCGTAGCACAATAAGAGTTCCAAACAAGGTTTCAAACACGGTAAATGGAACTAAATTCGGAGTTTTGAGTATCAAGATATAGCAGTTCAAAGTCGGTCAATTTTCACTACTAGAACAGTGAATTTCCAGATTTGAAAAGCAATCTTTGGAGCATCATTTGGATATCGAAATGGCCTTGAAATTACACCAAATTTGGTACACTTAAACTTCCATATGTGGAATACCTCTACATTAAATTTTACACAAAAAATCACGTGGGAAGGCAGTTAACAAAACTACCAAAGTTTAGGAAATTCTCAAGGCTAATCTGTCACTTGCCCCTTTCTTTCCTTTCAAAAGTTTGGCACAATGAAATCAACCCCAATTCGATCCATTTTTTAAACCAAGGTCCTATAAACATTTAATAAGAAATTGATAAGCAATTGACATCAAAATATTTGAAACAAAACATCCCAAAACAACTCTGACTATTCGGCTAGCAAGAAAGGGAAAACTTTCCAGTTTTCCAGCTTTTTGCACTTTCAAAATCAGACCACATCTCAGTCAACACAAACTCAAATTGGGAATGGTTGGTGGCATTGGAAACTAGGTTCAAAATGCCACATTTCATCAGAAAGAGTCATTTCCAAAATCAGTTCACAAGTAAGAGAAAATCAAGCCACAAGATGCAGCTTCTCCATTCCTCTCGGACAGGTAGTCACAACAGGGCAGTCAATTTTGTCGAATCACTACGGATGACTCAAAATGAACTAGCGGGTAATTTTATACCGTTGGAAAGATATGAATGTCTAGTTTTGAATGCCGCTAACGGCACTCAATTTTGACTGTACAACAGCACTCAATTTTGACTTTTGTACAAAGAGATACGTTCAAACAAAGAGGTATTGTTCGGCTGCCCAGATTACCATTTCCAGATTTCTTTCAATTTCAAAAACCCTAGTTTTGAGCAACCAATGGAAACGATTTTTGGTAGACACCTTGTACACACAATATACAACATATATCACTCAATTTCACAGCCAAACAACCAACAAAAATTTGAAATACAAGCAAGATAACCACAGGACAGTTTCGGCCAGCTCTCATGCACAGCTTGTCCTCGATTTTTCCTTCACTTTCTAACCGTATTCATCTCAAATAACACATAAACAACCTCAATCAACTAATTACACCTCAAGTCAGCTACCTATAATCTACCTCAAGACCGCTAGCCTAAAGATTAAAGCAAGATAAAATGGGTTTCCTCAAGTCCTCTACCTATTTCTTGTTTAGGGTTGTAAACCCATGCATTCTAAGCTTGATTCTTGAAGAAAAATGGAGAGATTGCAAGAGTTGAAGTTTACCTCTTGAACCCTAGATGGCACCAGAAATTTCCACCAAAACTCCCCAAGAAATTCCACGAGATGATGTCTTTCTCCAACCTAGAGTTGATCTCCAAGAGATTTTGAAGTTGGGTGCAAATTTGGAAGTGAAATGGAACAAGATAAAGTAAGATGAAGTGAAGCTTTCTTCCTCCCTTTCCTTGGGTGTTCGGCCGAGACTATGGAGAAGAGAGAGAGTGTGTTTTGTGGTTTGAATGTTGGTGGATGAAGTGTGTTAAGGAAGCTAAGTTCAAGGTGCAATAAGTCGACTTTGAATAGTGCTCAAATAGAGAGGTGCACTACCACTTTTCTCTCTTGTTTATTGCACTACTGCACTAATCCTCCAATATAACTCCTTTAACACTATAATTATTCACTCTTAGTAGTCTAGTATAAATTTCTCAAATCTCCACTTAGCCGTTTTGACGCGAAATATGCGAACTTTCGATTCACGCACGATAAAGCGAAATTTAAAAGAAATTCATATAACGATAATATAATTAACTAATACTAGGGTAAATAATTATAAAAATAACTATTTTAAGAATAAAAACATGAGTCCTCACAGAAGAACCTTGTGCTTGTGCTTGAATCTAATAATTTCCATGGTGACATTTCCATGTGCCTCTGCAAATTATCATTCCTTCAGGTTTTCAATTTGAAAGACAACAACTTAACTGGCCATATACCTCGCTGTTTTAACAACTTTACAGCTACGACATTGACAGAATTGGACTCTATAGGTATTTACGTCCTGAATTCAAGTTATTTTGCAGTTGACGACAGTGAAGAACTCTCACTTTTCATCAAAGGTGGAATGTTGAACTACACATCAAGCAATGTGCCATATGTTAGATTCATGGGGCTCTCGGGAAATAAACTAAGTGGGGAAATACCTGTCGAGTTAATGTCTCTTGTTGGATTGCTGGGTTTGGATTTATCTAGAAACCATCTAAGTGGAAGAATCCCAGAAAACATTGGGAACTTGAACCAACTTGAGTCTCTAGATTTATCCAAAAATGACCTTTCTGGTCCAATTCCTCAAAGTTTGTCGGAACTTAAATTCTCTGGGCTGGCTGAACTTGTCGTTCAACAAGCTAACCGGTCGAATTCCATCCGGACGTCATCTGCAGACATTAGACGACCCAACCATTTACATGGGAAACAGTGGACTTTGTGGTGAACCGCTAGACAAAAGCTGCCCCGATGAATCTGATGGTAAATCAAATGCCGGAGAATCGAGTGATCATGAGGATGGCAAGGAGTCTTATTTTTATTGGTTTTATGCTGGTTTGGGACCTGGTTTTGGTGTTGGACTCTTGGGATTCTTCAGTGTCCTATGTTTTAAAAAGTCATGGCGCTATGCATACTTCGGATTTCTGGAGAACTTGTTCAATAAAGTGTGGGTAGATATTGCATTGCTTATTGAGTGATTTTACGTGTATCATCAATTATAGTTGTAATGTCGTGGTACTTCATCTTATTGTAAAATAATAAAGTATAAATAAGACCTTTCTGACATCCCTTCAGGTCATGATTGAAGCATAACATGTCGGTCATTTAGTTATCATTTCTCTCCACAATTAGAACTACGCATTGGAGTGAAAGTAGAGTGAAATTTTCATAATTACAACTGACCATTGAAGGGAAAGTTCAATACCACATAATGTTCATGTAGACCTTTTGAGTTCTGCTGTAAGTATTGTATAAATAAATTTGCACTAGTTATTCTAAATTACGGTCCTAATATATTAGTGTTGTCAGGAAAGAAACATACATGCACAGTAGAAATTCAAAATATTATTTATCTCAATTTTTTGTGCATTTCTACATGGAGATCATAACTTTTGGTGCAAAATCCTTTTCCATTTAAAATTATCAAAATATCTAGCATTTGCTGGTGATCTACACAACCTCTTCATAAGATTTTATTATGATAAAATCATTAAATTTGATAAATACTAGCTCTCCCCATGAGTAAAGCTCACAAGTTAATGAAATAGGAGGGATGAGAGATGACTTCCTTAGGGAGAGAGATGAATTTCTCTCTATGTTGGCCGAATTCTCCACCTTGTTTTTTTTTCTTGATTTTCACAAAATCTCTCTAAAAATTAATTGAAAATTATGTCTTGCAAAGTTGGTCTAAGAGGTCTTTATATTGGCAATAAATAAATCCAATTCCTATGGGATCCACTTGAGTGGTTTCCTTAAGAAGTAGGATTCCTATCTTCCAGATATCCTAAAAGACTTTCATATTTGTACAATAACTCCTTCATATTTAAGTTATACTACTCTTGAAATCTTTTAGATAACTCTTTTCTTAGAAGATTACCTTATTTGCATAGAAGCAGTGTTGTTAGACCCGGACTAGACCGGTCCGTTCGATCTGTCCGACTGTGAACCAGCTTCTTTTCGAATTGGTTTATAGTATAAAATCGTTTTAGTCAAAAATCAGTCAAAACCATAAAAAACTGGCTAAACCAGTGACTCGATTCGACTAGTTGACCCAATTCTCAAACTTTTCTTTCTTCTTTTCCCCAAACATAATTTGAGTTACCTAAATTGTAACACTTTCATTTATTAATAGGAATAAGAAAATGTCAACTATTTAGTGTAAATATCAAAATCACTCGCTTTTCTAAATGATCTCTAAATCAAGATGTTTTTATCACTATGATCTCATTAATTTAGCATCAGTGATTCAAACTTGTATTAATTTGTTTTAATTTAGTTTTTCATGTAGTTTTGGAGAATGGACATATTTTAACCATAAATTTACATTTTTATGTATAATTATTAGGTGTATATTTGATTGCAAGTCTAATATTTTTGGAACATTTTTCATGATTGGTCAAATATAACCAAGAACTTAATTTTAATATTTCTGAAACTTATAAAAATATAAAATAATTATAACATCATGCTAACGTTAGTGTATTTTTTAGAACGGTTCTACCGATCCGACTAGTTGACCCCTGACTGAATAGTTTAACCGAGTCACCATTTGGTTCGAGTTTAACAACATTGCATAGAAGTTCCTTACAAATTAAACTATAGGCAATACATTCTTATATTCATGTCCTACTTCAATTCCTTTTAATCCTATGAATGAAAATCTTAGTGTGAGTGACCCATTAGACTCCCAAATATGATTACAACATAACAAGTATTTGTTATAATTTTAAATAATTAAGAGCCAAATAGTTTAAATACTTTTAATTTATCATTAATTGAAATAGTCAGCTAACTCATTCTTATAGATCGAGATTGCTATCTAGCAACAATCAAGTGATGAGAAGAGCCAAGTAGTTGACTTCATCTTTCCATGCACGTTTTCCATGTAACTATTATTACTCACCAAACTTATCTCTTAGTACTTTAGAATATAGAATACATTCCAACTCTGATATAACTATAACAATTTTTTACCAAAATTTTCCCATGAAGAAAACTTAAGACAACTTTCCAAAACCTTTTCACTTAGCACTAAGATTCTTTGAACCATACTTTAATGAGCAGCCACGAATAAGATAACTCCTCTATTATTAAGATAATATATTCTTATAAATTACTCACTATTCTTTCATGCTTACTACTCTTCCCAATCTCTAATAATATGAGTAGATCATTTATGAGTAATCCAACTAAGATGTTGTGGTACTCTTAAATTTAAGGATCACTTGTACTGCCGGCACTTAGACATTAAGCTATTGACACTCACAAAGTTATTTATATTATTTGGATCAAATTAATGAATTTGATCAACTAGCTAGTGAACTTGATTAAATATCAAGCATGCACACAGTAATTTAGATGTCGCCACGTTATTGTCTAAAGTAGTATTTTAAAAGGCATTATCGGGATTCGCTTTAGGGCATGTACACTTAAAACGCCTTAGAGCAATCAAGGGAGGCGGTAGTTTCGTTGTGGTATTGCCTGAACGATGCCTCCAAGACTCGGGCTTGCATGCCTAAATGGTCCATATAAAGTGGAAAATTTTGAGATTTGACATAAACCCTGTTTAGTAGAACAAGGAGAATAGAAGAAAAAGTGATCAAAAAACCTCGCCAACAATAGAATGGAGCTCTCCAGTGCTTCATTGTTTATTACCCCCTATATATACTATATTATTTTCGAAGCCCACTTAAAGAAGCACCGTTTCATGCTTCTTGCAATCATAATTTACCGTTAACATGTTTTGGATATCTACATTCTGAAATAGTCATATTATTGCTTAATGTTATATAGTTAGTTGATATTTTACCATTTTAATAATACTGCATATTTCTAGCATTTTATTAATTTCTAAATTATTAAAATTAAAATTCATGGGGCTTATGGCCTCAGGACTTTCACCACACCCGAAACAACTAGAAATCCCTGGCCAGCACCTCCACTTTTCGAAATTTTGGTCTAAAGAAATAGTTCCTAATTGTCAAGTTTAATCCTTGGCTTCTATATGGGATTTGAGACTGCTTATTCTTATTGTCATGGCAATAAGTAATCAAATATTTGGTATAACTTGGGTACGTTGCCTACAGTTAGGACCATCTTTACTGGTCTTGGGAATTAAATTCTAAACTAATTAGAATAGCATTTCATGATCAGCCTGGTGACAGTAAGGTAAATGAATCAAATTCTGATTCGGGTTCTCATTTTGATGTCATATAATTTACTAAATGGTTGACTTGTGATAATTTTAAAGTGCTAATCGGTTTGGTTGCGCAGAACAATCTGATATTGGTCTGGTTATGCAAATAGAAAGCCTCACAAGTTATTTGTTGGACTTGATTCATAAACAAATCAATATTGGTGGGCAATTAGGCTCTTTCCTTATGTATTGTAAAATACGATATGATCATTCCTTGTTTTGTTCTAGATGAACTATTATTGTGTAATTTGGCATCATTGTTTCAATTAAAAGGACACATGCAGTGGTTGCTTAACTTCGTTTTTGTTGGAACGTGTGCTTTATTCTGTCATTTTTTCTTTTTTTGTAGGAACCATTGGGGGCTGATCGCAAATGCATTTGAAGAAGTTGAATATCATGATTGACTTGTGAATTAAAGGTGGATGCCAGTGGTATGGGCACATCATTTTTTGCAAAAATCACTTGGTAACTCTGTGTATTTCTATTTCAAATGAGGGAATCATTAGGGTTTGTTGGTGGCCAGGGAGGGGTCTGAGGGTCTTATCCGCTATTAGGTTCAGAGTTCGAATCCTTTACCTAGCTATTAGGGAAGGCTGTGGAGAGAGATGGGAGAGTAAAGAAAAAAAAATGAAGAAATCTGATTTTGGTCTCTAATGTTTAGATTGTGTGCAAACTAGTCCCGAATATTTTGACCAAAACAAATATGATTCCAAAGATAAAATTTAGAACCATTGATAAAAATTCAATAATGGCTAAGAGTTAAAGTCAGATTGTTGTTAGTCAATAGTTTTATATTTATATTTTTAGTCGCTAATTTTTTGAGATTGAATTGATACAGCCCCTAAGGCCCTAAGTTACAGAAAGTGATATTTTGGGTTTTAGGATGAAATGGGAAAATTAAATCAAAATATTTTTCAAATGTGTGCCAGAAATTCCAATAATAAAAAAATGACAAAGTTAATAATACTTCTTTTTTTATTTTTTTCTCTTTTTCATTTCATTTATTCATGCTACTAATTAGTCCTTTTTTTTCATTTCGTTTGCATAGTTGGTCCCAAATTTGGCATAATATATGTATGTGTTATTTTGCACTATATTGTATTAAAAAAGAGTTGTACATCATTCTTTCATTACAATCAAATGCTCAATTAAATATCGTTACAAATATAAGAAATATATACAATATGTAATTTATGTGTCATCCATTTTCCTTTTGTTTTGGCATTTCAGTCAACTAAGTTTCAAATTAAACATTCACTTACAAAATTATTTGAATTATTCAATAAAATTATCATTGTACAGAGCATTAAAATTAAACCTATAAATCTTTACTATTGGAACATTAGATTTGAAATTTTGAATAAGAAGGGAAGACAACATAATCCAAAAGGAAGTTTTTTCAAATATTCTTAAAAGCGCTTTATATTGGTACTTACTTGCACTAATTGTAATCACTAATTACAACTCCCAGCTATAGCCATTTAAAGCTTACCTCGATAAGTCATGCAAAAATTTATCTAATTGGAGCTACGATCAAGTCATATAAAGAAACTAGAATTTTCAACTTCTTCCACTAATTTATGTTTTATGTATTATATATGTTTTGTTGTTCAATTGTGACTAATTTAATAAAGAGAAATTCTTCAGCTAAATAACACTTTTGTGCCAATGTGAAGCTAATTAATATTTTCTATTAATTGTTTTAAATTGCCTAAAATCACAAATTTGAGGATCACATTTTTCCTTGTCAAAATATTAGGAACAAAATTTACAAATAAACCAAAAAATTAGAGACCAAAACAACACTGCTGAGATCACTTTGTTGCTGAATGCTGATTTGGACTTTTGTTTAAGACTCCTGCTAAAGTGATCATTGACTCAAAAGTTTATGAAGGGAAGATTTGGTTATTCTATTCTTCATCTATGTCAATTTGATCTTCCTCATGGTCAACCACTATCTTGAAACTTGGGATTATTACAGTTCTCACTCCTTTTTGCCCAGTTCATGTTCCTCGCCATTTCTTTCCTGCAAACCACCCTCTCAGATCTATGGACAATTTAATGGAATAAGTTCTCTTCTAATGTTGCATGTAAGGAGTCTTCTTTTGGGCATCATCTATAGATAGTATACTGGCATTCTAGACACAGAAGCACAAAAAGAACAGAAACCGAAGAAAATACAGCATTAAAGCTCCAAAGGTAAAAACGAAACAGAAACTCAGAAATATGAAGATGTGAACCTTGTAATCGATGACTGATTAGACATACACATTAGGAAACAGCAAAATGACAGTATGTTTTAGAATTACAATCCAAATGGCTTGTGCAGTTTGGACTTCAAGAAGATTAGAAACAAAATTTGATATACAAGGAAACATCCCTCTCTCTCTTGCGAACAAAAACTTTGCCGGTCTCTTCATTTTCGTTGAGCGAAACTATCATCTAAACGCCTTGAACAATACTGTACAGCTAAAGAAACTAAATATTCTTTATATAAGCAAAACTGAGGGCAGAAAATTGTTTCCTGATTTTCTTTCCCTCTGATGGCTTTAACTTTCTACTGTTCTGTATATGAAACAGTACTCTGTAACAAAACAGACAAAAAAAGAGGTGAATTTCGTACTCAAGGAGATCTACCTTTTTGTACATTAATTAAAATTTTTTGTTAATAATGTTAGCGATGTCTGTTTATCTTTCCTCAAACAAACAATAATGATGTTTCCATGGAGAAGAAACAGATATACAAGTCTGCACATAAAAGCGGAGGGATTGGGCTAGTCCACAATCACAAAATCAAATTTCCGAAAAAAACACCTAAATCCTTTGATGGAAACTTCTGACCATGGGACATGACAAAGTATGATTAAAGTTATCATCGAACGTGCAACATAAAAATATTTGGCATCTGAAACTCTTTTAATTCTGAAAGGAAAAAAATTCGCACAAGTTCAGAGCTCAATTCCAAAAATGAGATTTGATTCATAAATGGAACTAAATGTGAATTTTCAAAGGAATTCTCCACCATCACTTGTCCCCCCTCTCAGCATGATGTAGGAACTCCATCTACTACATGTGTGAATCTTTCACCTCATCGTGGTGGAAATAAACATACCCAGTTAACCTAACGTACAATGATAGATTCCCAATCTGCTAGAAGATGTTCTATCGACTTGTCCATTTTGACTGAAATGCAGCTCTAATTAGAGTTAAAACTTAAAAATACAATGCATTGACTTCTAAAACAGCAAATGAGATGAGAATGGAACAGTCCAGATTAAATATCAGTAAATTATTCCCATCCTTCCGCATTAAATGGTCCAATTGGAATTCTTGGGTCTGAATGAAATTTTCTAAGAGTTCTATCTTCTATTGGTTTATTAAGCGGTTTTTGATGTGTATAAACAGGGGGAAAAAAGGAATAATAAGAAAGAAGATATATACAAATGTATTGGTACATGAACTATGCAGTATCTCTCAGTGGAATTGTTCAAGGCATCTACTTTTTGATAAACTCTGCAAGCCATCAATACTATTAAAGTATAGAATAAATACGATTCCTTTCAGAAAGACTGTTCAATTGAATTTTTCATTCATATGCATTAATGAAGGTGTGCTCCTATTCTCAGTTCTATTGTGCAAAAAAAAAAGGTTATGTGACGATATTGAAACTGAAACGCTTTAAAGTTTGTAAAAAAGCAAGCAAAAGCTCCAATAGGATTTGGGAAATCACTAGATGTTCAAACGTAAACTAACATGTCAGAAAGGCCATTTGTTCTTTCTTTTTATTTTCTTTTTCTCTCTTCTCCATGCCCTTATTTTAACCTATGATAGACAGCTTTCCCAGGAACAACATGGAGTAACAAACACATGGCTTGAAATGTTATGCTGCAGGAACTTAGGTTTCTAAAATAATGGCAAACATCTTGCAAACTTTATTGTACGAAAGAACTACGAACACTATGAAGTGGCTTTAAAAACCTGGTAGCAATGAGTTCAAGTAATCTGTTCTAGTTCCAGATGGATGGGTTTTTAAATTGAGTTGCCATTGCCTCAGAGAGAAACTTGACAAGTTCTTCTCTCGGAACTTCCTTCTCCTTCTTCAGCTCAAGATGCCGCACCTAGTAACAGAACCAAACGCTAAGCAACTTTTAAAGGACAATCCAAACTGGACAAAAAAAAAATATGAGGTGCTCTTCTCCTGGAATAAAGCATTTGAATGCGGGCTCTAGATTATGGCGCATGGGTGCTGCTAAAGGAGTCAAAAGTTGTAACACAAAAGCTCTAAATGGCTAATACTTACCCATAATAGATACATATAGTTGATTTAAAATGGTAAACATAATCTCAGAAAAGCTTTTAACTCCAACTATTCTTTTAAGGAATCTGGTAGTCTTAGTTTGGGCATTTCCTAGTCAGTATTTTATTCCAGTGGAGGTATTGTAGCACGGTAAACGGGCTTAAATAACAGTGCAGTATGTCAATGTTAAGATTGTGTGAAACTAAGAAGAAATAATAACACCACTGGAAACCACAACAAAGATGGCTACTTTCCATTACAAGTTAAAAAATCCAGCTAATTGTGATTACTTCTCAAAGTTTGTACCGACTATGGGAAAGGATCAAGTTAACCAAGTAGATAAGTTGTCCTACCTTAACTGAATCTGTTTGGGATACACCACTGTCAGTGATGATCACAAGACATTTGATATCATGCTCGTTGGCATATTCATACTGTTCTGTGAGGCTTGGATCACATATGGGGACGAACTGAGTCTGATGTACAAGTATTTTTGAAGCCTGTTTCAGATTCTTAGATTCAAAGCACAATTCTTCTAATAAATCTCATTACTGACCTTGATATTCTGCTGCCATAGCTCAGCCACTAGTTCCATGCGCTCTACTAGTAAACCACCTCCTCCTCTTGAGCAAACAAGAACCTCGATACCAACATCATGTCTGCAAAATTTGGTAGATCAACATCAGATAATTAGTAGAAACAGAAACCAGTTATTTACTCCCTCTTGTCCATCTTTCAGCTTCCAACTCCATTAGAGAACTTTAGATGATGAAGTATATTACAATTATCTACTTGGAGTCAACAAAACTAGCATTGAAAACTTATAGAACATTCTACATTACCTCTTAATAAGATAGATGTGCATTTGAGCTAAAGAAATCAATCTTATATTTCAGGTATTTCTAGTGTTCAACATTTTGGGAAGTTAAATGAGAAGGAGAAAATGACAAGGGTTGGAGATAAATAGTGATTTTGTTAATCATCAAATATCATGGTCAATTTTCTCAAATCCCACTAAGAAGAAGAGAGCAAAAACACTACCTATAAATTTTCGTATCCATCATAGTACTATGCAACAAAATTGTCTCCAAAGCAAGACTAGTCCCAACTGCACCTGGAGGATTTGATTTCTGGGAACATTGAGACAGAAAGTCAAAAACACAAAACAGACTACAAAATATTGTATTTGAAGTGTAGTAACATATCTCTATCAATAATGGCAAACATATTTTACGATTATTACAATTATTTGATCTTTGTGATAAAAATGAAAAGCATAAGCCAAATGACATACACCACACTAATCAACAGAAATCAACTTATGCATCTTATCCGATCTTGAATGTATACTCTGATACAGACAGGAAAAGAAAGACAAACTCCCAGAAGCCCTTTCACTAATCTTAGCGACTGGAATTTAGATTACCACACAGACTAGCATTATGTAATAGTAAAATCAATTTGGCCATTGAAATATTTTTGCACAAAATATATGTTTCAAAAAACCCTTTTTAAACTATAATTTTGGGTCAAATCGTCGCATTCTCAAACCCCCATTTAGACCCATTTTTCTTTTAAATCACAATTCATTTTCCAATCACAAATCAATCAAAAAATACATTTTTAAAACCATTTATTTATTTATCAAAAAATGGGGCGCGACAGTTGGCGACTCCACTGGGGACATTCGAGAGTCCGAGCAAATTTGATTTAATCAATCTTTTTCTTCTTTTAACCTTTTCATATATCACATTTGGGTGTTTAGGGTTGCATTTTTTTTAAGATAGGTTATCATATACTTGGTTGACTGGTTATCAGTAGAATGTTAACAAAAGTTATGCAAGGAAAACCTGAAGATACCGATTTGGTGGTGAATGACCAATTGCTCTTCGATATACATACGATATTTCATACCGTTTGAAGAAGGATTTCTGCAGCAGACAATAATTCATATTATTTGCACTAATTGACAACCAAATGCCATAGCAAAGAAATTGTAGTGTTAGTACTTATTTGGGCACCCAAAGGTAGTGAAACAGAATAGCAGTAGAGGCCAGTTTAAAAGTCCCACCAGACAATGAGCAATAAGAACTATTAAAATTTTTAAAAAATGAATTTTCTAAAATCAGAAAAGCTAAAACTTCAAGCAGTCATTTTCTAAAATTATTTCAGTAATTTTGTAGATAGCAAATTCCATTACTGAACTGGCTCATAGTCCATCAAACATAACAATCTAGCAAGATGGAAACATATATGTGGATTGCAGTTACTTAGCACAACAAAATTCAGAACAATAGTCAGAAGATTCGTCAACTCACATCTAAAATACTTCAACTCAATTTCTTAGAACTATTATGAATGCTACTTACTAAAAACAGGAGAAAGAAAAGAATAATAGCCCTCATATAAAAAGAATTATCGAAAACCACGGTCAATAAATATGAAAACCCAAGAGCCCAACAGAGAATCCCAAATAGACCCCCCATTCCCCTTGGAAGATGTATGTTCAGCTGACAACTTTCATCTCACCTGCACCACACAAAAGAATTGACCAAAGACCTCTACGTGTTGAGATATCACACCATTATTCTTATCTTCAGGAAACCATTAATCAATATGCGTATATAGTAAACAAACAGGCTATGCAACATGCTGACCAAAAAACTGATTAGTAAAAGAAAGAGTTCAACATGTAGAAAAAAAGCAGCACATAAGCCACTGGCAAAAGAAGTTGGAAAGCAAATCATATACCTGATTGGCAATTATCCAGTTGGCAAAAGGTAAGCGAAGCTCATGACAAAGCTCAACCATGTCTCCTCCATTGGTCAAAAGTTTCACAGTATTCCTTTCCAAGTCAAGAATAACTAAATTATCAACAAAAAAAAAAAAAGACAAAAAAGCAGCAGAACATGCAAAATGAGATAATTTTGGGAACAATAACAAAATAAGATACAAAGACTGGACAAGGGGAAACCTATTTAGCTGTCGAGAATCAGCCAACATGTGCATTGGTATAACCTCTAGATGCTTTGCACAATGTTGTCTAAACACTCCAGCAGCCACCTCCAATACATGATCACGGTTACTGGTATCAACATCCGAAAATAGGACAGATGAGATATCACCTCCAAGCAATTTCAATCTCTCAACACTCTCATGTTCCTTTGTACTCAAAAGCTCCTCATCAAAAATAGCATTTACAATTTTGTCATACACACCAGTGTCTTCAGAGGTATGAATTGTTCGGAGAATATCTGCATTTGAAGAGATGAATATCCTTAATTTAATCATGATATACAATAGATTAAGGAAGCAAAGCTTTAGGAAATGATTTTTAGCTTCCTCATACGTTTAAAACAATACAAAAATAAATAATCAGGCCAAAGTTGAACTATTTACTTTTTAAAACTAACATACGTATGGAGAGGGGGGGGGGAGGGGGAGAGAGAGAGAGAACCATCAAACAAAACCAGGTTAAAAAAATGTACAATAACTAAACCAAAAGGTTTTCCAAAAAGGAAAATGCAGACCAGGTAATCTAAATGCCGAAATCAGTAAATACATCATAAATGAGAGAAGTCGGAACACTACTTCACCACTATATGGGCCATAGGCTTTCATCAAGCACATCATCCTAAAGTAACAGGGCAGGACAAGGGCTTGAAATCTTTTGACCTAAAATCTGAAGTAAACACTCAATCAGCAATTAATCAGTCACAATCCATAAAACTAAGATGACATGGACCAAGAGAGACTGCTAGACAACCATGTTGAGAGTAAAAGCCATCAATTCAACTCATACTCCCCATAGTCGAAGCAAAAGAAAGGCAGCAGCAAAGAAGCACAAAAGCCTAAAGTTTGACTTAAATGTGATGCAGAATATGAGTAGCTTCTAATTTGACTTTCCAAACACAGAAAAAAATTGCTTCAGAATGACTCAGTTTGTGACATAATAATATGAGTAAGTTTGTGACATAATAATATGAGTAACTCAGATTGAGACTTTCTAAGCTTCCCACCTTAATCTGAACTATTACATGTCTAAATCTTAAAAAACTACTAAACATTCTTTTACTTCAACGGGGACAACTAATGTATGGGCATCAACATTTATGCACATATTAGTTCTCGTAATTGATTCCACATGCTACATGGAAGTATCAAACATTGTCAAGGACTCACTATCCAAAAGCTCATATTCCATTCGGGGAGGAAAAGCGTGCTGAAGAAGTTCTGCAGCTGACGGACGTTCAGATGGACTTGGTGACATCAGAAGTCTTAACAAAGACGCCTGTTCTGGGAAATCAGCTAGCCAAGCAGAAGGAAGCTCTCCCTTCTGTTTCAAATCAGAAAGGACAATGTGCCTTTCCATTGCTGTGTCAAAAGGGTGCCAGAGCTCGAAAAATACAACTCCTAGACTATACATGTCAGCCTGCAGAAACAAGGTAATTGAGCGAGGAATCTACAGGAGTAGTAGTTACTGCTACAAAATTAAACTTGTTCAAAAACCAAAAATACCTTCTCATTTATCTTTGGCCACCCTTGCTCTATTTCAGGTGCAGTGTAGAAATATGTGCCAACTTGGCCAGTACCATCAACTGAAACTCCAACTGTTTCTGTGGCATCAACATCCTGCTCCACTTGCTCCAACTTCAAGAACTTGGCTGAAATGGAAAAGAATACAGCGATATGTGCCTTTTATTGTCTCCCTCTTGATAGCAAATAAATTTCTGTACTGATAATTTTAGCCACAAATCAAGCAGGAAACATCCATACAGAGTATGGTAATCCTACAAATGCCCCACCAATCCACCAAATGCCCCACCAATATTAAGTATATCCTAGATATTCGCGTATCCCAGCGTATAGTAATCCTACAAACGCCCCACCAAAAATCAAAGTATATCCTAAATATTTGCATATCCCAGACTATGACATTCACAATCCCATCATTTCCTAAGGACTGGAGTATCCCTAAGAAAATGCCAAAAAAATAAAAATAGAAAAGATGACAGTTCAAAGGATAGATCTAACCCGAAAAAAGAAAAAAGAGTAAATGTCTAGTTCACAGCAATTATCTGCGGCATGCACAAACCTCTCACTAGCAAGAGGGAACAGATAATCTAGACAAGATACAAGCCTAGTCATAAATATTTCATAACTTGTAATCTTGATGGAACATCAATGCGAATCAAGATACAAAGGTATATTTAGTAATCTCATCCATTGAAACAACCAATTGTGTGACTTGATGAAATTACCAATCATAAGCCAAAAAGTACTATTTACATTTTTTCTGTGCAAGTATTAAGAGTACTATGAACATTCAATCCCCTAGCATTTTTGGTGCATATTCCACTTGCATGCAATGAACTACGATCAACATAATTTTAGATTCTCCCATTCAGCAAAAAGAATCCAGGAAGCCTTTAAGAAGAAAAAAATGAATCCAACACTGCAAAAAGTGGACATTTCATTTTGGGGTACTTGATGCTAAAGCAAAGACAAGTAACTCATGTGCATAAAAATAAGTTCAATCTAGTAGAAACTAGAGAAGTTTCTCACCAAGACCAAAATCTCCAATTTTAATGTCATTGCGAGCATCAGAAAAGATGTTATTAGGAGTCAAGTCACGATGAATTATTCCTTGGGCATGTATGTGTGCCAGGCCTTCAACAATTTGGCGAAACAGATGCCAGGCAAGCTCCTTATCAAATTGATTATATTGATTATAAGATTCGAACATTTGGCGCAGTGTCCTGTAAAACATGGACATTAAATTAGTTACGTGAAACCATTTAAAAGAAAAGAATAAAAATGTCATTAATTATGCAACTGCAAAATATATCTACAACCAAAGATGGTTGTTTGACATTGTTGAGGATGCATAACACAGAAGCAATATAATTATCAATAACTATCAATAGCTAAAGAAATACGTGAGACGGAAGCATAAAACTAAAGAATTCTATAATGGCATCATAGTTAAAGAAAACTTAAGAAGTTACAGCACCTCAAAATAAAGGAGAAACTATTTGGACAGTTACCCTTTATCTACATAATTTCTTCAAAGCTCCCTGTACTATAACTAAATCTAGTCAAGAAAAGCGCAAAAAGAAAAAAGACTTCATGAAAGTATATATGAAAAGATATCTTCGACTCTGAGCAGTTGTATTTTTCAAATGTAAGCAGATCCACTTATTTCCTTTTACAATTCATTCTTGGGATAGAACATCTGTAAGGTAAAGGTGATATGTTGTGCAAGCATCATATTGTTGATGATAAAATTCTAATAGTCTTAGATAGAATGTGACAAGCACCCAGTGCCCCCACCAACGTAACTGTAATCATTTTCCTTTGAAAGCCTCATATTAGGCAATCAATAACAGTGAAAATCGGCTATTATAGAACAAGAACATGGAAAGCTTATGAGGTTCAATTAAATAATGATTTCATGTGTTTACTTTCTTTTTCTGATCGACCTACATAAAGGTTCTTTGCTTCATAAAGATCCATAAAACTCGAGACTTTTTTCCTCATAGGTTGACGATATGCCTTCAGGCTTCTCCTGATCCACTTTGTCTGAAATGAACTTAGAATTTACAATACCTCAAGCAAAGGAGCTATGTCAACTAAAACTTGCAAGAAAACTCCTAAATTACATTTTAAAAAAATGACCTGCTAGATTTTTCACCCAAAAAATAAATAAATATAAAAAAAGAAAGGAAGTTACTATTAAGAGAGAGCAAAAAATTTTTTATTCATAAGTGAAGGGGAGATTAGTATGACAGAAGCCAGATTTTAGATTCATGATTCCACCCCCTCCCCCTCCTCCTCCCCCAATTCCAGAAGGAATAAAAAAGAAAAGAATACTTTGCTCCTGTCAGTGATAGCACTGATTGATTGCCCCTAAGCATGTGTTGATGTGCTATCCCCTTCATTTCCTTTTCCTAAATTTACAGGTAAAACGGAAGAGAAGCATAACCTGGGGCAGTATTCCATTTGAATGTACAAGTAAGTCGAATCAAGCTTAGTTTCCAGCCCAAAAATATCAGATGAGCTTCCATCCATGTAGCTGAAAGTGGAGCTCATGGTGGCTTTTGAGCCCTGGGTTGCATCACCAAAAGAACCAGCAATTCCTGTTTCAAACCATGCCTGAAATATTTTAATTAATTTTTAATCACCACTAGAACAATCAAATACAATGAAGATCTTTTAGAACTTGATAACTTGTTCAATTAAATAAAAGTTTCCAAAACCATATACTATAGACTCCTACAAATCACAGAATAAAACACCTCTCATGAATAGATAAGGAGATAAAAAAAAGTTCAAACTGCAAAAGTACCTGGTAGTAACGCACAACATGGTGATGCTGCAACCGTGACAGAGTAGCAACTTCCCTGAAGTTTTAAGAATATTTAATAAGAGAAAAACAAATGGTTGCACCAGACAACATAAGCAGCATACTCATTTAGTAAGAAAACCACAAGGTACACCCACAGTACGATTATTAAATCTACATCCAACAAAGGATTGGATCACAAAGAATATAAAAAAGCAAATGGGAGATCCCATGCACTTTTTACCAAAAAATAAAAACAATATACAACAACTCCAAGTAGAAAAAGTGTCAAGACAGTTGATCAAAAGCACAAGATTGAGGCAATAAATGCTAACCAAATGGCTTCAAAATGTAACCTTAAGTTAGAATACCAGCATCATGACTCTAAGCTTATGCAGACCAATATGATATCAAAAAGAAACTTATCATCCTTACTTTTGCTCCCTAGCAAAGTTCTTTATTTCTTTTTTCTCCTTTTTCTGGTCAGCAATCTAAAGATGATGAAGACAATCTGGGTCAGCATAAAACGTTGCTTCAACACAGCAGAAATTCACAGATTCTGCCATTAAACACCCATTTACTTTTTCTTTCCAAGTAAATCGTCGAAAGTTAAAGCAGGCACGGAAAAAATCAAAGGTCACTTATCTACATTCCTGCTTTGCATCGTAGTCCACCTTTATTTGATGTAAAATTTCAAATAGTAAACAAAATTTACAGGAACCAACTCCATTATATGTTTTGAATATCAACTATAATGTATTATATCCCATAGGGATACAAGCTTTAGATGCAAAATCTCCAGAATCTTCTATGCAAGTGGAGAACAAAAATCAAATCTAAAACAAACAATGACATGAAAACAAGGGCTGTAGTGCATGAAACCTATGGAAGCCATTGGCTCCTTTGAATCATAGCACGCATTATAACATTTTTAAAGCACTTCAAATATTTATTCTAAGGCATGAAATATTAGGATACTCCTTTCAATACATTACATTCTTTTGGTGTACTAGTACACCATGGGAGCTCTAGTTTTCTGTTAGAATTCATGCCATTAATAGGATTACACCTTACATCTATGCCAATTTTCAAGAACTGAAACAGGGGTCTTCGGATGCAAAAAAAAAAAAAAATTTGGCAAAATTGTTGTTCAACAACAGCAGAAAATAAACAGTTTCAGGGTTGCTCGATACGCAATTCAGGTGAGATTCAAGGAATCCTGAGGCTGCTTTCAATAGCCAAAAGAAGATCAAAACATTAATTGGTTGCACTAAAATCAAGAAAATAATTCAGCCTCTAGAAGTTCCATAGGCTACACAGACATAGACTTGAAGGCTCCCAAGAGCTGATTCTGCTACTAAAAAACTTCGCTTTATCAGAAACCATAACAAATGCCTAAGAAACCAATTATAAGTAACCTAACCAGCCACAAACCATAAGTTTATTCTAACACTCATAAAAAAAATGCTTTTTTGAAACTAAAAGAATATATCATAAAATCACCAAAAGGACCACTGACCATAAAAACAAACAAACTAATATGTACTGGATTGTTACTCAAGCCTGAACTATGACATTGACCATGACTATAAGCTATTCAAAAGCTTCTATAAAGGCTTTAATCATATACATTAGAATGCACATATTTGTTCATCCCAAAACAAAATTCAATTTGCAGAGGAACCAATATTTTTACTGAAAATTCATTACTTGCCAACTTCTGTATTTTCAGGGTTACACTTAGGTAGCAAAGACTAAGAATAGAGAAGTGAGGACATAAAAGTGATCCTTTCAACCTCCAGAAGTGGATAGAAACTTTGTCACAGAAGGTAGAACATTAACAAAGGAATAAGAGTGTTTAATACCATCTGATGATTTTGAGCAACAGGAAAATAAAAATATACAGGAGCAGATGGTAACCTCAATATGCGATCATTTATAGGCAGGCTCTTGTCCTTCAAGCGTATTTTCTTGACAGCATATTGCCTGCCATCTATCTTATTTTTACACAGCACAACATGACCAAATCCTCCATGACCTGCTAGGAAAAGGAGATATGGTCAAAGAAATACCAAGATGCCACATTAGAGAACTGAGAAAGACAAGGGTGCAAATGCAAATCAGACAAGTCCTAGCAATGAATGCCACAGATAAAGAACTGGGGGTTCATATGTTTTTCTTCCCAAAAGAAATACAAAAAGGCCTCGTAAAGCAACAGCATAAGCGAGAGAAATGGAACATTACTAGTGAATCATGTTGCCAATGCTGAATCTTTACTCAATAAAAATGTCCAATTAGATGAGCAAGTCAGGATTTAAACAGATACATCGTACTGAACAGCTTTACAACGGGATGCAATGGGGCTGACATGAGAACAAGAACAACTGGTCATAGGATATTCACAAATTCATCACCCTTTCGCCCTGAGGCTATATGGGTTCTTCTCACCAACCTAAGGGTCTGTTCTTGTTCACTCAGAGCTTCTCTCGAAGCTATGCCCAAAGTATATACTGACAAAATTATTTTTAAAAAAAATTCTTGGAGAAACGGCATACATCAAGAGGCACCAGAGTGCAATCGCAAACAATATGAAACTCAAAGATAAAAGCATCCAATCGAAATTCAACAAACCGAAGAGCATATTTTCTTGTCAAAGTTTTAAAAGAAAACCTATTCAGACAAAAGCGTCCAAACGAATGCTTTGCAAGATAATTAGTAAAAATCAAAAGTGAAACCAGGTAAGGTCAACTTGTTCTTTTACAGTAGAGTAGATCATAAACGTTAAATATTTTATTGCCACTTTAAAGCTAAGATGAATAGGCTCCACTTTTACCAAACACAAACCAAGTGCCACTTTCATTTGACTCAATTAAATACCACAACAAAATGAACACAAGGCACTGTAGCAAACCTTCCAATCCTGGATTGCAACAATCTAAATACCTTTACCATTTCCATTTTAAAAGGCTCAACAAAATATCAATGTACCAGGAAGTAAATTAATTTATAGCCTACTCTCTCCTAAGGAACAAAGACCATGTTGCAATGAGAATGTTGGTCAACACATTCCTTTAACTTATTCAGATATCCATCACTGTGGATTGAGTAAAGTAAGATGGATGCACACCAAGGGGCTGGAGTTCCTCAAAATCACTTAGATAACGGGAACTTGACGTGGATGAAGAATTCTGTCCTTCAAAATCAGAAGCAGTTCTCCAAAACTGAGAGATCTTTGATGAGACCTATAGCAAGGAATTTGGCAAGGTATAAGTCAATAACATGGAATTCAGCTTCTGTTAGTATAAGATGGACATCAAAAGAGTAGTTTACTAACCCTATGCTGAGCGAAAACATGATTAAAAGCCTTCTCAAAAACTGGAGATGGTTCAATTGTCAGATCACGCACATGCTCAGATACGATCTAAAACAGCACAAGATGGCCATTATGAGATAAACAGATAGTCCCTAGTTAAGGTAAATTAATTAACACATAGACAAAGAGCAACCTCATTATCAGCTCAGCAGAAGAACGAATACATACCCCTAGGTTGTACAGCTCTGATGTGATTTGCACCAAAGCATCACCTAGAGGCCCTTTGGGTGCGCAAACAAGGCGAAGTAGGTGAACCTAACGGAGAATGAGTTTAATGCACAAGTACAATTGAACTTCACAGGCAGCACAGTGAGAATTAGAAAGAAGCCCACCATAATTAAATCTGTTCTCATAGTCTGAGATAATTGGTGATTGATAACAGATTTTGAAGACACTGAATCTGAAGGTTCTATTAATTGATCTTCATCAGTTGTTTCTGTTAGATTCTCCTCCACAAAAATATCCTGTAACATAAGAAAACAACATATCCAGATAAATGTGTATTTAATGTATCTAGTGCTATATTATACAGAAAGGAAAGATAAAGTTCAGATCAGGAAAAAAAAAGGAAAAAAAAAAGACAGAAAAAATTATATGGCAGAACAAAACCTAACATGTATTTGGCATCCATCTTGAAGGAAAAGATATTCACCAATACCTTTATGTTACCAACACTACCACTTTTGACTGTTCCACAAGATAGAGTTGTACTTGAATCAGTACTCTTGATCTCATCCTCACTCTCCTCTTTAACAGTGACTAGTTTCAATGCAGGGTTTTGCGCAAATTCTTGCTTAGCACCCTGAAGTTCCACTGACTTCTTCCCAATTTTGTTATCTGCATTCTGATGTCCAACTTTGGAATGCTCGAAGGTATTAGAAGATACTTTAGTTTTTAGACCAGAGTTTTGTTCCATTCCCAGGCTCCAATGCCATGATTCGACCACAACCACTAAAAAGATCTATATAACCATATACAAAAGGTCCTTTACAAGAGTACATCATGATTCTGGAAACTGCCAAATCCTTGCGAGATAGCAAGGTACTCCTGTCCGTGGCTTGGGATATAGCCTGAAAAGAAGCCAAAGCACATAAGAGTCAACCATGCATTATGTCAGACAGACTTTGCAATGATAAAGCAGCTTTCTGCAAACATCATAATACATCTTTCTGACAAAAACATGGTGAACATGCAGTGGATACATCAAGGCAGCAAATTAAGTGACCACGAAGGAAGCATTCTAGCAATAGCCCTTATACAATATCTCCATGCATTAAGTAGACTTTACCGGTCCTACTCAGAGACAAAATCAGGTAAAGGAATCTATTACCAAGGAAAGAACTCAAACATCCCACTCTTTATCGGGCTAGTGGATTTTGAAGGAAAGGTGTTATCTGACCATATGCAACAAAGCTAGTGCAAACATGCTGAATTATACATAACATCAGGCTTTAGACTAAATGATGCATATGCCATGTAGCTTTTACCAGTATGAAATTGAGCATGGCATAATTGGACTGCAATACTTAAATGTGGATCCCGACTCCCTTCTCCTCTCCTTTTCAAATAAAAGGGACCTAAGAGGCAAGAGACATAAGGTATGGTAACCTAGATGGTGAGGACCTTGAATGAGCAAAGAGAGAAATAGAAATAATAATTATTCTTTCTACATTTCCTAGCACATGCCATTACCTGCACTAAGAAAACATTCCATGTAGAAAAGCTAATCATCTAGTACTCAGAGGATGGCCCCAAACAAAAAAAAAAAAAAATCTTACACAGTTGAATCCTACATCTATTTCACAATGAATAAGAAATATTTGAATCCCTAAAGATCTCCTTCGAAGTTCATAAGATTAAAAGTTATATTTAGGAAGAATACAAATCTTCAATTATTATCTTTCGACTGTTATAAGAAAATTAATGAATTCATTGCAAAACAGGATCATTAAAGGCCTCTTTTCTCTATTGCTAGTTCCTCGAATAACCAACATAATGTCTTCTCCACCATTCAGGAGTCTGATACATAGCAGAGTAACGTTATTGAGCTTGCCACAAGACACGAATACCTTCCTATGTCTTTTTAAATCTAAATTCAGGAAGTCATGCATTTCTCGTGCTTTATGATAGCTGCAAATTGATCAATGCTAAGGCTTACAGATTCACGTGATTCTGCTTGAGGAACAACTTCAGACAAAAATTCTTGAGCAGCCTCCACCAAATTGTAAATCATTACACGCCCTTCACGAGCATTAGAATTTGCCTGGGAATATTGTAAATTCACGGAATGAAAAGAACATAAAATGACATTAATAATAACAGAACCAATGTTTAATGATAGCAACGCTTTTATAACAATATAATTGAAATAACAATCACTGGATCAAGTACATAAATTAACAGCATGTCATAGCCAAAGACTTGTTAACAAAAAGTAGAAAGAAAGCAAAACTTTACTGGAGAGCATCACAGCATCAAAAACTGTGGCACCAGCTAAAACATGCTATTCTAGAACAATCTCATAAACCATTTCCAGTGCTTAGAAAAATTATTCAGGAGAAAGAAAGTATAAGCCGTGATGTTTTGGGATGTTACATAAATATCCTAACATATCTGGCTAGAATAAAACTTCAATGGCCCAGAGCATGAGAGAACAATAGGAAGATTTTCCTACTTTTCAAAGATGAGGGGATACAGGGAAACCACTTCTTTGAATATTCCCTCCCCCCCCCCCCTCTCTCTCTCTCAAAAGTTAAGAACAGGAGTAAAAAATCCAACAGAATTTTCCCACATTAAGGATGATGATTCATTACTTGAACAGAAAAAAAGCTGATTTTGATCAACCATATGTCTCAGCAAAAAGGATTCACAATACTACATGCAGAATGACTTAAAAAAATTCCTCCAAACAACACCTATCATGAATCGTGAAAGGAATGCTTCTGAACAGGTATGCATCTTACTTGATCATGAAGCAAGGACAGAAGATTGTCCGCATCTACCACTGATAATCCTTTCTCAGGAATTATACGCAACTTTGGGCATTTGTTGGGGTAGCCAGATAAAAACCTTATAAATGGATGACGAGTCATTAGTGAAGAGAGATTATGTTTTCTGCTTTTCATCTTTTCTTTCAATTGTGTTTTTGTGAATTTCTGTTTGGTAGTGAATATAAAAGAACCAATGCTATATCATAACCTAGTGCATGAGCTGACTAACCTTACAGAAAGAAGAGCAGAAATATCTGATTCATCATATCCTGTATCCTTTGAGTATGGCCTGTCATTTGAATCCACAATCACTTCATGCAAAAGACAGTGAAGATGCCAAACACAAGTACGATAGATATTCTTCATATACATAACCTGAGCTTAATCTGAATTTGTGGTGGTGATCCGGAAACAACTTCACACTCATCTTGAAATATAGCACACCTTGTCAGTCCATGAAACAGTCACTCAAACTGATGTAGAAACTTTAAGCATAAAATTCTTCTAAAAGGTTGTCATGCATCAGTTGTCAGATAGCTGCCAGAGGTCACACCTCCAAGAATTCTAGTGAAAAAGACACATCTCCATGCGCATACTTACAACACACCTGACTGGTATGGAGATTAAAAACTTACTGCCACTAAACTGCTTCAGCCATAGGCAACTTATGTCACAAACAATTGAAGTACCATACATTTGTTGCTGTAAATATGTTTCTAAGAACCTGAAAGGTTAGGATTAATGGAACATGGCTGCATGTCAATCCTAGTTGGTTGTGCTTATTTGCGTTTAAAAATCACAATCTTCTTAAAAAAGTACTAGCTATAGCTATGCATAAAGAGTTTCTATTAGGTATAACAACCGCTTTTGCATTCAACTTCCACAATTAAGCACCAAATATGATCATTGTCAAAGGTTAATAGTATGCTATTATTCAGGTTACAACAATTATTCCAGATACTAAAAGTAATTTTGGATTTCGGACAACCAAGATAACTAATCCAAATCACTTATTTACCATGTTCCAGAAGTAAAATTCCTGTTGTGATTCACTAGGGTGTAAACTGTTACTGGTAATTATTCTACCTCGTAAGGGTTTCATCATGCCACTAGCATGAAAGCGAGAAAACTGTGAGCAGCAACGACAATGGCACCAGGCCTTACCTTACCATACTACTTGTGCAAACTATAAGCCGGCAAGTTTGCACAAAGTACGTAGACAGTAATCTTCAACTAGTACTCCAAGAACTCCAAAATTACATGCATACATTACTTTCCTAATATCCTAGACATTCTACCTCTAACAAGAAAAGCAGCAATTAATCCAGCAATTATAAAAACCTGAAATCCTCAATTGAATAACCAACAAGTTTCTCAATTTCTACTGGAAATGAACCCGAATATATCAAATATTACTACTACAAAAGTCGTCGCAAAATAAAAATTTTAAAAACCCAAAAAATCAAAAAGAATCATACAAGAGGCACATAAAGAAATGAATTGACATACAATGCGGTGATTTCTTCACCAATAAGCTCGGAATTATCAGCAGCAAGAGAATTGTGATCCTTTGATGGAGCCCTTCGGGCGCCTCCGCGCTTCTTCTTTTTCTTCGAACTATGCCCCATTTCTTCTTCTTCAGTTATCAGCCAGTCTATTATTCATCACAAGCGCAGCAGCAAATTCTTTACTGTATTTACCATTTTTCGGTGTTGTGAGTTTGATTGATGATGAATTTGATGAAGACAAGGTCGCGGAGGTGGTATGGCGGTGGACGGCTTCTGGCGGGCGCTACGGTTTCAGGCCTTTTGCCGAGAGTGACGTAGTTGAGCAAAATACTGAGGAAATTAAATAGTTCCGATATATTAAATACTGAGGAAATTATCCAAGGGAAGGCCCTAAGTGCGCATATGCTGAGTTGCGCAAAGGTAATGACATGACCTCCTGCAGTAACAGTAGACTAAGTTCGGAGCCTAGCTTCAAGGCCAGAGTGGAAAATGGGCATGTAATTGAACCGGGACTCGCTAAGAATAACGGGCCTGTTTGGAGCCTGAGGGCCTGTTTGGAATCTTGATTTTTTATCAAATTTGTATAAAACTAGTTTTTTAATAACTTTTGCTACAGAAACCCCAAAAAACTTATCAAAATTTTTAACCTACACACCCATCTAATACACAAAAAATTTCCTTCAACTTTTCTTCTTTTCCCTCCCTCACCCAACCCACCATGTCCTCCGGCACTAGCCACCGCTTCCACCACCGCTCCCGGCGCAGGTCAACAATTCCGGCACTGCTTTCCTCTTTTTTTTTTTTTCTCTCCCTCTCCCTCACCCCCTCTCCTTCTCTCGTCTTCCCCTCCCCTCTTCCCCTCTCCCACCCCCTCCCGCGACCAGATTTGGTCCCGCGACCAGATCGTAAAAGTGGAGGGGGAGGGGGAGGGGGAGGAGGGCTGCGATCTGGTTGCGCTACCAGATCGCAACTAAGGAAGGGGGAGGGTGACGGGGGAGAGGGGAGGAGAAGGGGTGATGGGCAAAAACTAAAAAAAAAAAATCCATGGCTTCCATTACTTTAGCATGTGGCTGCTGAGGGCGACAGGGATGGGGGAGAAAAAGGGGTGGCCGGCAGAGGGGGTGGCGGGGCAGAGGGAGAAGAGGGGCGGCAGGGGAGAAGGGAGGAGAAGGGGTGACGGGTAGAGGAGGTGGCGGGGAAGGAGAAGAGGAGTGGCGGGGAAAGAAAGGGAAAGTGGTAGAAGGGTGACGGGAGAGGGAGGGGGGGGGAGGGGTGGCGGGGGAGAGGGGAGGAAAAGGGGTGGCAGGCAGAGGGTGGTGGCGCGGGAGAGAGAAGAGGAGTCGCAGGGGAAGGAAGGGGAATCGCAGGGGAAGGAAGGGGAAGGGGAAGGAAGGAAAAGAAAAAAGAAAGAAAGAAAAAAAAGAAAAAAGAACAGAAAATGAAAGAAAGAAAAAAAAAGTTTTTCATCTCACAAAAGTTTTTTTACAACTTCTACAGTGATCTACAGTAAAATTTTATACAAACATTCAAAAACTCACATTCCAAACAGGCCCTAGTTTTTTAGGAGTTTGTCTAAAACTTTACTGTAGTGCACTGTAGAAGTTTTTGAAAAAATTTTGTAGAAGTTTTTGTAAGGTGAAAAATTTTGTAGAAATTTTTGTAAGGTGAAAAACTTTTTTTTCCTTTTCTTCTTCCCCTCCCCCTTCCCCGTTACCTCCGCCACCCCCAGCAGCAACTCCACCAATGCCACCTCCCGCCACCCCTCTCCTCCCTTTCCCCTTCTCCTCCCCTCCCCCCGCCACCTGCCCTTATTCTGCCCGCCACCCAAACCCTACCTCTGCCCGCCACCCCCCCCTGTTCCCTTTCCCGCATCTCCATCTTTCTTTTCTTTCTTTTTTTTTCATAGAGAGTAGGAGGAGGGACGCTGAGAGAAAAAAAAAAGACAAGAGGGGAGGATGGCAGGGGAGGAAGAGGGGGAGAGGGAAAAAAAGGGGAAAAAAAAAAAGAAAACCGGCACTGGCACAGGCACCAGAAACCGACGTCGGAGCCAGCGACGAAGGTGGTGGTGGGAGAAGAAGAAGAAGAAAAGGGGAAGGGAATTTATTTTTTTTTTTTGTATTTTGGATATTTTAAGTGTATAGGTTAAAAATTTTGATAAATTTTTGGGGTTCCTGTAGCACAAGTTTTTAAAAAACTAGTATAATAAAAACTTGGTAAAAAACAGGTCTTCCAAACAGACTCAAAGTTCGAGTCGAATTCGAACAGCTCAATCGCTTGAGTAAAGTCTAGTTCGAGTGTCTAATAATAAGACTCAAAGGTTCGTTGAGTCTTATTAATTTTTTTATTTTTTTATATTATATTATTATGAAATTACCTTTATGCCCACAAAAGTAGTTGAATTTACGAAATATTACTTTTTGTATGAAATTTTTTTTGAAAGGCAGTAAAGTATTTTCGCTCCAAAAATTGTCATGAAAAATGAAATTCCCAAATCAAGCATAGGTCATTCGTGGGGTGATTGCAAATTCCAATTCTCTATTCAATTGAATCAATTCTCTATTTCCAATTCTCTAATCTCCATCTCCAATTAGGGCTTCCAAGAACTACAATATTATCCATTCTCCATGCCTGATTGAATCAAAATCCCCAATTCCTCTCCATTCTCAGAACCTACTAGTTATAGAGAGAGAGAGAGAGAGAGAGGGGGACAAAGCTAAACTCGATGCGAAAGTTTACTACCGGAGTTGGTTTGAGAGCTTACTATCGGAGCTTGCTATGAAGTAGCGTGAAGAACTTGCGGCTGGAGTTGGAATTTTAGGTGGTTTGTCATCTGTCGATGAAGAAGCGAAGAACAGAGCCTCAAACTGTGAGAACATTAGCTGAAAAATGAAGTCTGAGGTATATACAATCTCGTCAAAATTAACCAAAAATGCTATTGATAAGGGAAAGATTTCTATTGATGTGGCTTGTATTATAGTTTGTGCAATTTAATTGAAAATGGGTATTAGAATTTGGGGGATGTTATTGGCTTTTTTGGGTAAAACATTTGTTTGCTTCAAATATTTGACAAAAATTTGAAAAATTAATGAAAGAATTAGTTACAGATCGATGTGAGATGTAAACGGAATATGCATAAAGTTCTAAAACTTTTCTTGCATAGGCAAAAGAATGTTGTGAGAGATTTGGTATGACATTTAAACCAATGAAATCAATTGCATACACATCCCCATACGTAAATATATTAAAAATGACAAAATGTTATTGATACAGTACCATTTTGGGAGTTTAACAACCAAGCAACTAAAATCTAGACTAGAGCAAACTAGCACCCTAGCACTTTTTAACTCATCAAATTTTAGTTTAGTGTCATCTCTATTTTGTATCATTGAAAGTCATTACCATTTAGTTTGATTCAATAATATAATTTGTCATAAATCTACAGTGTGTACATAAATAATGTCGAAGTGTATTATACAAAAATGAGACTTCTAAAGAAGTTACAGGGATAAGATGAAAATTATTGAAATTTGAAGAGGTCAAAATGAGCATGTATTATGGAAAGCATGTAAGTCAAATAATGTTGGTCTTAGACTCTTAGTTACTGCTTCTAGAATCTAGATATTAGTTATTAAGAGTTTTTATATTGATGGATAATGTTGTAGGAAACTGCAAGGAGGAACAGAGGTAGTCAAATAAAGTTGCATAAGGCATTTGGATTGTGGATAGGAACTTGTGTTGCAGGAATCCATATAGCTTGAGGAAGGTGTGAATACCAATCGAAAAAAAAATGGAAAATACCTCGACTCCTTCGACAAGCATTTCAATATTAGGTACCACAGCTGCAAGAGGAGGTAAGTTAACCTTAAACCACTATTTTTGAAGTCTTATGTCTCCATTAGTGCTTACATCAATTGAGAAATGCGTCTTGTATTAGTTTTACTTTTCAACCAAGAGAAGTATTGGTCTAAGTGTTTATAACCAATGAGGCAAATTTCCATTTTTTTCCTTTTTTATTTCTTCTTCTTCCCTGGTGTAGAGCATTTAAAATAGCAGCAATGAAACTAAAACTGAACTACACTAAATATCTTACTAATATATAGTCAAAATGTTGTCTTTCTAATATACAGTTAAAAGTTAAAACTAGAAACTAAAACTAGTTAAAGCTAGAAACTAAAACTAGAATGACAATGATGCTCCATATAATTAAAACTAGAAACTAAAACCTATATGGCTCCATTCAACAGTTAAGTGAGCATTCATTGAATTTCCTTCATTGCTATCACAGCCATAGGTATCGGAATCAGTCCACTTGATGTATTATCCATCCCACGTGTTTGTTTGCAAGCTACTGATTCTGCCAGTCCACTACAACTAGATAACCCAATTTTTGTGAGTACTGAGAATGAGGGAGCTGTGGGAGCTGAGACAGATGCTTTGAGTGACGAGGGAGCATTTGTGGGAGATAGGAGAGCTGAAAATAATTCATAATCAATGACCTAATTGAAGGAGATGATGAATTTCGCATTCCCAAAAGAACCAAGACATTTGAGGCCTAGGACGACTACAAGGAATTCGACGAAAATGATCATTATTATGTCATTTCCTCACATTGCAACAAGAAATTATCTCGAGACAAAACTAAACAAACCACGAGTAAGTGGAGGCATCGGAGCTCTTGCCTAACTAGAAAAGCAAAGATTAGAGAAGAGCAACAAGCAAAGTTAAATTTTCAGCCTTCTAATTCTAATTTACAAGCAGTTCCACCCTTGCATTTGGGTAAAGTGGACATGGAAAAAATGTTGGAAATAGTTGCCCACTGGATTCTGATGCATGAGCATCCCTTCAACATTTTAGAGGAAAAGGGATTCAACCTAATGATGAAACAAGCAATGCCTGAGTGGATTAAGATCTCATGAGTTCCAGGAAAGAATAATTGTGTCCAAGTTTACGAGTTGGAGAAAAAGAAGTTGAAGAACCACTTGATATGTGTTGGCAAAATGAGCTTCACAGCAGATATGTGAAAGTCTAAATACTAGAAGATCGAGTACATGGTGCTCACTAGCCACTAGATTAATCAAAATTGGAAGCTGGAAAAATGAGTTCTTAGCTTTGTCCACATACTTCCACCAAGAAGAGGAATTCAAATCTCGACTGCAATTTTTAAATGTGTCAAGGACTAGAGGATTGAAAACAAGATTTATGCAATCTCTATGGATCATACAACTGCCAATGATGTAACTGCAAGGCATTTCAGAGATGACTTCTCAAGGTCAAGAAAGCTAGTTTGTAGAGGTAGATTATTCCATATTCGTTGTTGTGCTCATATAGTGAATTTGATCGTTCAAGACAACCTAAGTGAGATTGTCGATATAACTAAAAATATTAGAAAAAGTGTTGATTTCATCAATCGA